ATGCACACATTTTCCACATTACCTGTCGAACTAGTTTATCGAATTATGGATCATCAAAATGACCGGACGCTATTTTGTTCAATGCAAAATATCTGTCGACGGCTCAATCAGATCCTGAGTACTTACCAGCGATATCAAGTAAGTTTACTTGGTATTTTAACATTCTCGTCGACTGTGCCATACATAAGCTTAATGGTATTTGACGTCGTAAATTCCCTCATAGGACAACCCAAACTAATTTCATAATTCACAAACAGTTTGCTAGGATGAGACAATCACAATCAGAAGTCATATGAAATCAAGCATTCCATCACCCTCTCCCTTTTGCTCTATGCACATTGAGGATCCATTCGACCGATACGCGACCATGAACGAGCAAAACGCTTACCTATGCGCTACCGTTTCTGCGTTGCACTACTCGACCCAAAAATTGTATCCATTACAACTTTTGTGGGAACTCATCTACTCAAGCAAACAACACTGTACAGTTCTTTGACCTATGGCAATAGTCATTCTCAACACGCGTACATCAAGTCCAGCTCCTACATTTCAGAAGAGTAGGACTTGGATTTCACTGGACCGCGACTTGAAAAGAGAAATCTCATTACCACCAATACATATTGAAACTTATGTTCTACCATTTCTATCCCATCCTTTCACAGTAATCTCCAGTCTAGATTCTCGACACAGCACCTCTTTCCTGAACAACAACTAGCATGATCATCCACCCGTAGAATTGGCATCTACACCCAACTTCTCCTTAAAAATCTACCCCACACATAACTATTTTAAATCACATACATACCATCCGAAGCGCCATCAAAGGTTTTCTTTACTACTTCCACTTTTCACTACATACTACTTCAATCCAGACACTCACCACACTTCACCTCAGTGGGAACTCAATCGGTGCTGAAGGCGCACAACACATTGCTAATGCGCTCGGAACGAATACGGTAATATAGATCTCATTTCATGGAAGATGAAGCACTCAGTCTATCTCACACCTACAGACACTCACTACACTTAACCTCCGTTCGAACGAAATCGGTGCTGAAGGAGCACAGCACATTGCTAATGCCCTCCAAACGAAGACGGTAATATTGATCTCATTTCATAGAAGACGGAGCACTCAGTCTATCTCACACCTACAGACACTCACCACACTCGACCTCAGTGAGAACTCAATCGGTGCTGAAGGAGCACAACACATTGCTAATGCGCTGCGAACGAATACGGTAATATTGATCTTATTTCATAGAAGATGAAGCACTCAGTCTATCTCACACCTACAGACACTCACCACACTTGACCTCAGTGGGAACTCAATCGGTGCTGAAGGCGCACAACACATTGCTAATGCGCTCGGAACGAATACGGTAATATAGATCTCATTTCATGGAAGATGAAGCACTCAGTCTATCTCACACCTACAGACACTCACCACACTTGACCTCAGTGGGAACTCAATCGGTGCTGAAGGAGCACAACACATTGCTAATGCGCTCGGAACGAATACGGTAATATTGATCTCATTTCATAGAAGATGAAGCACTCAGTCTATCTCACACCTACAGACACTCACCACACTTGACCTCAGTTGGAACGAAATCGGTGCTAAAGGAGCAAAACATATTGCGGATGCCCTGCGAACAAATACTGTAATACCGATCTCATGTTATTAGAGATGAAGCACTCAGTCTATCTTACACCTACAGACACTAACTACACTTCACCTCAGTGGGAACCCAATCGGTGCTGAAGGAGCACAACACATTGCTAATGCGCTCGGAACGAATACGGTAATATTGATCTCATTTCATAGAAGATGAAGCACTCAGTCTATCTTACACCTACAGACACTCACCACACTTAGCCTCTGGCACAACCAAATCGGTGCTGAAGGAGCACAACACATTGCTAATGCGCTCGGAACGAATACGGTAATATAGATCTCATTTCATGGAAGATGAAGCACTCAGTCTATCTCACACCTACAGACACTCACTACACTTAACCTCCGTTCGAACGAAATCGGTGCTGAAGGAGCACAACACATTGCGGATGCGTTGCGAACGAATGCGGTAATATTGATCTCATTTTATTAGAGATGAAGCACTCAATCTGTCTCACACCTACAGACCCTCACCACACTGGACCTGAGTTCGAACGAAATCGGTGATGAAGGAGCACAACACATTGCGGCCGTCTTGCGAACGAATACGGTAATGTTGATCTCATTTCATAGAAGATTAAGCACTCAATCTGTCTCACACCTACAGACACTCACCACGCTTGACCTCAGTGGGAACGAAATCGGTGATGAAGGAGCACAACACATTGCGGCCGTCTTGCGAACGAATACGGTAATGTTGATCTCATTTCATAGAAGATTAAGCACTCAATCTGTCTCACACCTACAGACACTCACCACGCTTGACCTCAGTGGGAACCGAATCGGCGCTGAAGGAGCACAACACATTGCGGATGCGTTGCGAACAAATACGGTAATATTGATCTCATTTTTTTTAGAGATGAAGCACTGAATCTGTCTCACAGCTACAGACACTCACCACACTTGGCCTCCGTTGGAACGAAATCGGTGATGAAGGAGCACAACACATTGCGGATGCGTTGCGAATGAATACGGTAATATTGATCTCATTTCATAGAAGATGAAGCACTCAATCTGTCTTACACCTACAGACACTCACCACACTTAGCCTCTGGCACAACCAAATCGGTGCTGAAGGAGCACAACACATTGCTAATGCGCTCCGAACGAATGCGGTAATATTGATCTCATTTCATAGAAGATGGAGCGCTCAGTCTATCTCACACCTACAGACACTAACCACACTTGACCTCGATGAAAACGGAATCGGTGCTGAAGGAGCACAACATATTGCTAATGCGCTCCGAACGAATACGGTAATATTGATCTCATTTCATAGAAGATGAAGTACTCAATCTATCTCACACCTAAAGACACTAACCACACTTCACCTCAGGTTGAACCAAATGGGTGATGAAATAGCTCAACATATCGCAGATGCATTGGGGAGGAATATAGTATGATTGATGCTGTGGTCGAAGAAGTTTGTAATTTCTGTTTTGTCTCATTCTTAGAGGGCCAAGATGGTATAGATCTGGCTTTAAATTCAATGGGAGAACAAGTGATCGTGGATATGATGACTCTTTGCGTAGATTGGATCTTTTTCGATAGAGAACTTAGTAGATGTAATTGTTTTGTGTGCTGATCGTGACATTGATGAGTAATAAAGATATAGAAAACGAATGTTGTTATGAGAAGTGAATGTTACCTGAATGTTAATGATTTTTGTTCCGTGAGAAATTCATGTGCATCGGTGAAAATGAATGGTTTAGTTACGAAGGTATAACGGAGCAGTGTTTGGTAGAAGAGACGCCATAGTGCGGTGCGTTTATGGGTGATCCTCTCGGTTTAGAGTTTGTTTCTGAGAGGGTATGATGGACAAGACAACATTACTGTAGACAGCTCGATTATATTGGAGATGTAGAAGAATGGGGTCGATGGTAGTACAGCACGTATGCAGTTCAGATGTTATTTCTCCTAATAGCTAAGTGATTAGGGCATGGTACACTGAATGGCAGCGATTCTTCATTATAAGCCAGCTATTGGATGTTTTATTTCAGCGCCTAAATGTATTGAGTGGTTGATGAGGAAGTTTTTTGGTTTTTTGTAGTTCATTTTTGGAGAGAGTAGTATTCATCCGTTATGTATGAGTTCTACGGTGCGTTTGAAAGAAACACTGTTATAAACTGACTAGAATGACATAGTGAAGAGAGAATAATTAAAAAATAGCACACCCAATCGTTCTGTTAGATAAATCATTTCCCATCATCAGCGTAGTCTGAAAACAAGTTATTTTGTCGAATATGATCAGCACTATTCACTCTTGGTGCTTATCCATGTTGAAATATCAGGGAAGTGTTTTTACAGTACTTTTCGTGGAAAGAGCTTTGCAATATATTTTCAAGCTCGTTTGTATATCATTCTGATAACAGGGCTTTGTATCTATGGTTTGCTTACATCGAACATCTCGACACTGTTTGAAACGCTCAGAAGTTTGAAGTCGTATGAAATTTAATGATAGGGAGCGATTGTACCCTTGCTCTGAGATCTATCTTTTGAATGATGACAAAGCTAAAACCGCTCAGCTGTGCATAATTCAACATCATAGTCTGTGCGCTAAGATATTACATATATATTCATAGTGTTCTCTAGCATTACACTGTAAGAGAACGTACATTTCATTGGTTTAGATACTTGTCTTTGAGTTCTCTGCACGTATCGGTGATTGAAAACTCGCACGAGATGATGATCATTGAAAAGAAGTGGATTTTGGCTATCTGGAGCCGCCGCAGACTGAATTTATACATGTAGTATTACTACGTTTAGAGGTGGATCTGAAATGGTATGTATATAACCCGCCTGTTTGCAAAGAGTTAATAGCACTTGGTCAAAATACACTCATATAAATCGAGTGGACTGAAAGTATGCAAAGGATCATCATCTAAATACAGATATTCTTGCTTTTAATCGCGGCATTTGCGCACATTTAGTCTCTGTTTGTTTACAAATGAGTACCAACAACGAATACAACCGTGTAGTAATAGTCTGTATGTGTTGTAGATAAACAATAGAATTTGCAACAACCAGCAATATTATTCACGACGTCTGATATAATGCTATCGACAGGATTTGTATATATGAATATATAAAGCAGTCGAAGATGAGCGTGCCCGTGATCAAAGAAAGAAAATATGAGCATTTTGTTTTCAGTAAATAAAATCGCGCCGTGCAATACTGAAACTTTTTAGCTGAGTATACAGTCACTTTTTATTACCACTAAAAATAGTGGGAAGAAATTGCCATTGTTAAAGTCAGGTAAACATGCTTGGATTAATTCACGTTCTTCTCAGTAGTTGCAGAAACCTATCCTAACACATGAAAAATATCCTCCCATATTTGTTCCGATTAGAGAGCTCTCGCTCAAAAGTATCATCTTCTGATGGTAAATGATGTTAAGTTTTCAGTTTAGATCTAATATTTCCAACAATAGCCATGGCCGAGTTCAAGATAACGAATGCGTGCATAATGAGACTTATTTCAGTATACATATGTAATTTATAAGCAATACCCGCCCATAGAACTCGCTGGTCTGATACTAAAATGTTAGAACTATATCGTTCAGCATACTTGAAACACCATAGAGACTTGTTTCACCTCATAAACCAAAACACTTGTCTCTTTGTAAGAAAAAAGTCGTTTTTGCCTAGTCGATTATCATGACCTATCCATAATATCCTCTGGTTTTCTATTTCTATTCCAATTCAATCAACACGTTTAGCTTTATACCATGTTTAAAACCAATGACATCCTACTGTACGTCACATGATGTTCTGTTTTTCAGCGCAGAAAAGCAACAGGTTCACGCATACTTATAATGGATCGGAAAGANCTCCGAACGAATATGGTAATATTGATCTTATTTCATAGAAGATGAAGCACTCAGTCTATCTCACACCTACAGACACTCACCACACTTGACCTCAGTGGGAACAGAATCGGTGCTGAAGGAGCACAACACATTGCTAATGCACTCCGAACGAATACGGTAATATTAATCTCATTTCATAGAAGATGAAGCACTCAGTCTATCTCACACCTACAGACACTCACGACACTCAACCTCAGTGGGAACCTAATCGGTGCTGAAGGAGCACAACATATTGCTAATGCGCTGCGAACGAATACGGTAATATTGATCTCATTTAATTAGAAATGAAGCGCTCAGTCTATCTCACACCTACAGACACTCACCACACTTGACCTCACTCGTAACCGAATCGGTGATGAAGGAGCACAACATATTGCTAATGCGCTGCGAACGAATACGGTAATACTGATCTCATTTAATTAGAAATGAAGCGCTCAGTCTATCCCACACCTACAGACACTCACGACACTCAACGTCAGTGGGAACCTAATCGGTGCTGAAGGAGCACAACATTTTGCGGGTGCCCTGCGAACGAATACGGTAATATTGATCTCATTTTATAGAAGACCAAGCATTCAGTCTATCTTACACCTACAGACACTCACCACACTTGACCTCATTGAGAACCAAATCGGTGATGAAGGAGCACAACACATTGCGGATGCGTTGCGAACGAACGCAGTAATATTGATCTGATTTAATAGAAGATGGAGCACTCAGTGCATCTCACACCTACAGACACTCACCACACTTCACCTCATTGAGAACCGAATCGGTGATGAAATGGCTCAACGTATTGCAGATGCATTGGGAAGGAATATAGTAAGATTGATGCTGTGCTGCAAGAAGTTTGTAATTTCTGTTTTGTCTCATTCTTAGAGCGCCAAGATGGTATAGATCTGACTTTAAATTCAATCGGAGAACAAGTGATCGTGGATCGGATGGCTCTTTGTGTAGATCGGATCTTTTTCGATTGAGAACTTAGTCGATATCATTTGTTGTGTGGTTATCGTGACATTGATGAGTAATAAAGGGATAGAAAAGGAATGTTGTTGTGAGAAGTGAATGTTACCTGAATGTTAGTGCTTTTTGTTCTGTGAGAAATGCATGTGCATTGGTGAAAATGAATGGTTTAGTTACGAAGGTATAACGGAGCAGTTTTTGGTAGAAGAGACGCCATAGTGCGGTGCGTTTATGAGTGATTCTCTCGGTTTAGAGTTTGTTTCTGAGAGGGTATGATGGACAAGACAACATTACTGTAGGCAGCTCGACTATCCTGGAGATATAGAAGAACGGGGTCGATGGTAGTACAGCACGTATGCAGTTCAGATGTTATTTCTACTAATGGCAAAGTGATCAGGGCATGGTACACTGAATGGCAGCGATTCTTCATTATAGGAAAGCTGTTGCATGCTTTATTCCAAAGCCTAAATGTATGGATTGTTTGATGAGGAGGTTTTATTTCTTTTTGTGGTTCATTTTTGGAGAGAGTTGTATTGATCCGTTATGTATGAGTTCTACGGTGCGTTTGAAAGAAACACTGTTGTAAACTGACTAGAATGACATAGTGAAGAGAGAATAATTAAAAAATAGCACACCGAATCGTTCTATTAGATTAATCATTTCCCACCATCAGCGTAGTCTGAAAACAAGTTATTTTGTCGAATATGATCAGCACTATTCACTCTTGGTGCTTATCCATGTTAAAATATCAGGGAAGTGTTTTTGCAGTACTTTATCGTAGAAAGTGCTTTGCAAAGTTTTTTCGAGCTCGTTTGTATATCATTCTGATAACAGCGCTTTGTGTTTATGGTTTGCTTACATCGAACATCTCGACACTGTTTGAAACGCTCAGAAGTTTGAGGTCGTATGAAATTTAATGATAGGGGCCTATTGTACCCTTGCTCTGAGATCTATCTTTTGAATGATGACAAAGCTGAAACCGCTCAGCTGTGCATAATTCAACATCATAGTCGGTGCGCTAAGATATTTCATATATATTCGTAGTGTTCTTTAACATTACACTGTAAGAGAACGTACATTTCATTTGGGTTAGATACTTGTCTTTGAGTTCTCTGCACGTATCGGTGATTGAAAACTCGCACGAGATGATGATCATTGAACAGAAGTGGATTTAGGCTATCTGGAGCCGCCGCAGACTGAATTTATACATGCAGTATTACTACGTTTAGGGGTGGATCTGAAATGGTATGTATATAGCCCGCCTGTTTGCAAAGAGTTAATAGCACTTGGTCAAAATACACTCATATAAATCGAGTGGACTGAAAGTATGCAAAGGATCATCATCTAAATACAGATATTCTTGCTTTTAATCGCGGCATTTGCGCACATTTAGTCTCTGTTTGTTTACAAATGAGTACCAACAACGAATACAACCGTGTAGTAATAGTCTGTATGTGTTGTAGATAAACAATAGAATTTGCAACAACCAGCAATATTATTCACGAAGTCTGATATAATGCTATCGACAGGATTTGTATATATGAATATATAAAGCAGTCGAAGATGAGCGTGCCCGTGATCAAAGAAGGAAAATATGTGCATTTTGTTTTCAGCAAATAAAATCGCGCCGTACGATACTGAAACTTTTTAGCTGAGTATACAGTCCCTTTTTATTACTACTAAAAATAGTGAGAAGAAATCGTCATTGTTAAAGTCAGGTAAACATGCTTGGATTAATTCATGTTCTTCTCAGTAGTTGCAGAAACCTATCTTAACACATGAAAAGTACTCTCCCATATTTGTTCTGGTTAAAGAGCTCTCGCTCAAAAGTATCATCTTCTGATGGTAAATGTTGTGAAGTTTTCAGTTTAGAACTAATATTTCCAACAAAAGCCATGGCCAAGTTCAAGATAACGAATGCGTGCACAATGAGACTTATTTCAATATACATATGTAATTTATAAGTAATGCCCACCCATTGAACTCGCTGGTCTGATACTAAAATGTTAGAACTATATCGTTCAGCATACTTGAAACATCATAGAGACTTGTTTCACCTCATAAACCAAACCACTTGTCTCTTTGAGAAAAAAAGTCGTTTTTGCCTAGTCGATTATAATCACCTATCCATAATATCCTCTGTTTTTCTATTTCTATTCGAATTCAATGAACACGTTTAGCTTTATACCATGTTTAAAACCAATGACATCCTACTGTACGCCACATGATGTTCTGTTTTTCAGCGAAGAAAAGCAACAGGTTCACGCATACTTATAATGGATCGGAAAGATCTCATTTCAAATAGACCATATATCGAATAAGATTCGAAAAAAAAGATGCACAAGAAGAAGCTAATGTAAAGTTTGAGATTTCCAGTCTTAATTACGCTTTAAAGGATGGTTGCTNAGAAACCTATCCTAACACATGAAAAATATCTTCCCATATTTGTTCCGATTAGAGAGCTCTCGCTCAAAAGTATCATCTTCTGATGGTAAATGTTGTTAAGTTTTCAGTTTAGATCTAATATTTCCAACAATAGCCATGGCCAAGTTCAAGATAACGAATGCGTGCACAATGAGACTTATTTCAATATACATATGTAATTTATAAGTAATGCCTGCCCATTGAACTCGCTGGTCTGATACTAAAATGTTAGAACTATATCGTTCAGCATACTTGAAACACCATAGAGACTTATTTCGCCTCATAAACCAAAACACTTGTCTCTTTGTAAGAAAAAAGTCGTTTTTGCCTAGTCGATTATCATGACCTATCCATAATATCCTCTGTTTTTCTATTTCTATTCCAATTCAATGAACACGTTTAACTTTATACCATGTTTAAAACCAATGCCATCCTACTGTACGTCACATGATGTTCTGTTTTTCAGCGCAGAAAAGCAACAGGTTCATGCATACTTATAATGGATCGGAAAGATCTCATTTCAAATAGATTATATATCGAATAAGATTCGAAAAACAAGGTGCACAAGAAGAAGCTAATGTAAAGTTTGAGGTTCCCAGTCTTAATTACGCTTTAAAGGATGGTTGGTCAGAGCGAGTAAACTCCAGCGGATGCGATGGGAATACGCTGAAAGTCCAAGATTCTTAGCATTTCTGGCATCCGACAAAATCCGATCTTTTTCCTAGCGGATTTCTGCAGATTCTGAAAGCTCGATTACTCGTTGTTTATTTTTAATTCGTTTCTAATTCTCTTTTCTGCAACAAAAAGAGTTATAGCGTATAAAATACGGTCGTTAAAATGCTAAAAGTTTGTTTGCATAATCCAATCAGATTGCAGCATTTTATAAATCAATGAAAACCTAACCATACTTATTAGAAAATGATTGATGGAAGGTAATTGGAGTCGAGGATTTCGAATCTGATGTCAGTTTCAGAAAATTCTAATTAGCTAATTGACTAATTAAGTAAGGGTTGACCGAAGGACATCGAGGTCGAATAACTCAAATATGACGTTAGTTTTTTCTTTGTCACGAACCTTCAGCTTCTTTCTTTTTTTTCAGAAGAGATATTTTTCTCTATCGTCTTAAAATCTTTTGTAGAAGGTAGTGGTTTCAACACTACTGCTGGATGTGATGTGGACCAATAGAGTAGTTTAGGAGTTTACAGAAGAAGATTTAATATACCATACATCATGATATTTCTAGTCCAAGAAATCATAAAAAGTGGTATAAGCTTAATACCATTTATGTCTTCTAGGCTGCGACACGTCTAGTCTTCCAATAGGAATTTAGTGAAAATATGTGCCAGAGTGATATACCCGTAAGTGCAATTCCATCTTATTAACTACAAAGACATGGCCTATACAAATAGTATTCTGAACATAGGGTGCATTATGACGCGTGTTCTTTTCACAGCAAATAATAAAATAAAAATTTTATCTATTTTCTTTTCGGGATCAAATGGATGGAAGATCAGCACTTTCGAAGCCACAATGAAATGAAGCACAGTTATTCAGTTTAAAAGTTAGTCAAATGTGAAAGGCATAACAGAGGTAGGGTGGCAAGGGCTGGTCGTGAGTGGCCGACCGGAGGGAGGTTGACAAACGACTAGCCATTGAGGGATGGGGTTTTCAGTCAACACAGTTAGTTCTCGAGAATTACTCACTGACAAATGGCTAATCGGTTCGGTTCCTGAAATGAACAATCTCTGTCTTTTCTATTCACTCTAGTGTGTGATATAATGCCATGGTTCAGCTGAGGACTAGTAGCAATCGCAGTGTCTTAGTTGTCTTTCAAAGTGTTTGAATGTGGTCAGCACTGGGACAATTCTTTTAGAAAAGGGTCAGCGAATCCAAAGGATGAGCGCTACTTGTTTTTATTTCAAATGGTAATAATGAATGGAAAACAGACTGTTCTATAATAAAAGTTTTATTATAGAACTATCTCTATATTATCATATAGACAATAAGGAACAGGAACTACGATTCAGTTTGAGGCCATTGAAATAAATACACTATTTCTTTTTCGAATACAGTCACAAATAAACATTCGAAGAAAAGAAGTTCAGTTACGATCGAGCAGCAGCGATTGCAGTTCGATTGAAGAAATCGGCAACGATTGTGCGATTTTGGTTAGGATCAGTATGGTTATATTTCATGAAGAGAGGATAGTCGAGAAAATCCTTTGGTAGTGGTCGGTCTGTAGAATTTTTAGAAAGACACTTCTGAATAATTGCAGCAAACTCGGGTGAATAGCCACGATCTATTGGTAATGGTAGTGTTGCTTCATACACAATGCATTGTACTAGTTCGATAGGTCGAACGGCTAATGGTGGACCTTGACTTTCCGTACGAAATGGATATCGTCCAAGACCCATCTCCAGAACTGTCATGCCTACACTCCAGATCTCTGATGGAATACTGTACTCGTCTGAGATGACGCGCTCTGGTGCCATGTATTTATGTGTACCAATAAATGTTGCTACTTTCTGACCAATCGTTTCCAGCACTCGGCTAACGCCGAAATCGCATAGTTTTATACAACCATAACTATTCACAAGCACATTGGATGGTTTGATGTCACGGTGCATTATCTTACGACTCCACATATACATCAAACCTTGTATCATTGATAATGTTANTGAAACCATCTGTTTAGGGATATTGAAAAGCGGTTTAACTTTTTCCAATAAGCTGAACGTCTTGTTTCCTAAGAGAATCGATAACATTTAGTGTTTCGAAGGTTTTCCACGTTTTCTTATTTATTACAATACCATGGGGTAATTAATTCATCAAAATGAATTGACAGCAAATTGTTAGAGCACCTCGATGAGGGAGCTGTCATTCTATTTATATGAAAGATAGTGAATGTTCTAACTCACCCTTCAACACAAAAACCAGATACGCAGCTTAGGGATAGCAATTTAACTTAACTTTAAATGTTCTAGTTAACATCATCTCTGCAGTAAACCGTAGCTCAATTTTATAGTTTTTGGCTTTAAAAAGAAATAAAAGATCATGTGACTGTTTTTTTCAGGTTGAGAAACGATCATTTTTGTTTTTGTTTTATCTATCATCGAATAAGATTTGAAAAAATGAAACAAACACACTGAGGGATGCTGCATGAAGCTCTATCAGCAAACTATATCGTGGAACTTATTACAATCATCTGTTCTTTTTAACTAAAAAGCGTCAAATGTTGCAAAACGATCAGTGAAAACTGACTGGGTAACATTTAGTGTTCTCGAAGACAAAACATACATAATCAAAATAGATCTCTAATCTAAGCTGCAGAGTTTTTCATATTCCATTCCAATTTTTAGTTAAAAAAAATAATTTAGAAATGTTAATTCCTTTTCATGAAACTAGAATCGGTTTCTAAAGGAGCCAAAGCCATAAAAGATGTCCTGTTTTCAATTTTTTAATTTACCATTGTAACTGTGAAAACAGAATTCACTGCGCATACGTATTCTAATGCCATCTATCTGTGCACACCAACAATTCATAACAGTTGAAATGATTACACGTCATTTGTTTTCGTCAAAAACATATATAACTACACTATCGCCATGAATTACTACTCATAACAAAACCAAATATTTTTTCATCGCTTCCAGTCTCTACGGTCGGTCTGTTGCACGATTGAAATACAACATGCACACATTTTCCACATTACCTGTCGAACTACTTTATCGAATTATGGATCATCAAAATGACCGGACGCTATTTTGTTCAATGCAAAATATCTGTCGACGGCTCAATCAAATCCTGAGTACTTACCAGCGATATCAAGTAAGTTTACTTGGTATCCTAACATTCTTGTCGACTGTGCTATACATACGCTTAATGGCATTTGATGTCGTAGATTCCCTCATAGGACAACCGAAACTAATTTCATAATTCACAAACAGTTTGCTAGCATGAGACAATCACAGGCAGAAGTCATATGAAATCAAGCATTCCATTGCCCTCTCCCTTTTGTTCTATGTACATTGAGGATGCATTCGACCGATACGCGACCATGAACGAGCAAAACGCTTACTTATGCGTTACCGTTTCTGCGTTGCACTACTCGGCTCCAAAATTGCATCAATTACAACTTTTGAGGGAACTCATCTACTGAAGCAAACAACATTGTACAGTTGCTTCACCTATGCCAATATTCATTCTCAATACGGGTACATCAAGTTCCGCCCCTACATTTCAGAAGAGTAGGAATTGGATTTCACTGCAGCGTGTCTTGAAAAGAGAAATCTCATTACCACCAATACATATTGAAACTTATGTCCTACTCTTTCCGATTCGATCCTATCACAGTAATCTCCAGTCTAGGTTTTCGACTCAGCACTTCTTTCCCGAACAACAACTAGCATCATCATCCACCCGAAGAATACACATCTACACCCAACTTCTCCTTAAAAATCTACCCCACATATAACTATTTCAAATCACATAAATACCATCCGAAGTGCCATCAAAGGTTTTCTTCACTACTTCCGCTTTTCATTACATACTACTTCAATCAAGACACTCACCACACTTGACCTCCGTAGGAACTGGATCGGTGCTAAACGAGCACAACACGTTGCTAATGCCCTGCGAACGAATACGGTAATATTGATCTCATTTTATTACAGATGAAGCACTCAATCTGTCTCACACCTACAGACACTCACCACACTTAACCTCAACCAGAACGGAATCGGTGATGAAGGAGCACAACACATTGCGGATGCGTTGCGAACGAATACGGTAATGTTGATCTCACTTCATAGAAGATGAAGCACTCAATTTATCTCACACCTACAGACACTCACCACACTTAACATCGACGAGAACCAAATCGGCGATAAAGGAGCACAACACATTGCGGATGTGTTGCGAACGAATACGGTAATATCGATCTCATTTCATAGAAGACGAAGCACTCAGTCTACCTCACACCTACAGACACTCACCACACTTGACTTCGGTAAGAACCGAATCGGTGCTGAAGGAGCACAACACATTGCGGATGCGCTACGAACGAATACGGTAATATTGATCTCATTTTATTCGAGATGAAGCACTCAGTCTATCTCACACGTACAGACAATCATCACCCTTCAACTCTGGTACAACGGAATCGGCGATGAAGGAGCACAACACATTGCGGCCGTCTTGCCAACGAATACGGTAATATTGATCTCATTTCATAGAAGATGAAGCACTCAGTCTATCATATACATACAGGCACTCACCACACTTCACCTCAGTTTGAACGAAATCGGTGCTGAAGGAGCACAACACATTGCGGATGCGTTGCGAACGAATACGGTAATATTGATCTCATTTAATAGAAGATGAAGCACTCAGTCTATCTCACACCTACAGACACTCACCACACTTCACCTCAATTCGAACGAAATCAGTGCTGAAGGAGCACAACACATTGCGGGCGCCTTGCGAACGAATACGGTAATATTGATCTCATTTAATAGAAGATGAAGCACTCACTCTAGCACATACATACAGACACTCACCACACTTAACCTCAACCAGAACGGAATCGGTGATGAAGGAGCACAACACATCGCGGATGCGTTGCGAACGAATAGGGTAATATTGATCTCATTTCATAGAAGATGAAGCTCTCACTCTAGCACATACATACAGACACTCACCACACTTGACCTCAGTTCGAACAAAATCAGTGCTGAAGGAGCACAACACATTGCGGATGCGTTGCGAACGAATACGGTAATATTGATCTCATTTTATTCGAGATGAAGCACTCAGTCTATCACATACATACAGGCACTCACCACAGTTGACCTCAGTTCGAACGAAATCGGTGCTGAAGGAGCACAACACATTGCGGATGCGCTGCGAACGAATAGGGTAATATTGATCTCATTTCATAGAAGATGAAGCAGTCAGTCTAGCACATACATACAGGCACTCACCACACTTGACCTCAGTTCGAACCAAATCGGTGCTGAAGGAGCACAACACATTGCGGATGCGCTGCGAACGAATACGGTAATATTGATCTCATTTTATAGAAGATGGAGCACTCAGTCTATCTCACACCTACAGACCCTCACCACACTTCACCTCCGGTGGAACGCAATCGGTGATGAAATAACTCAACATATTGTATATGCATTGGTAAGGAATATAGTAAGATTGATGCTGTGGTCGAAGAAGTTTGTAATTTCTGTTTTGTCTCATTCTTAGAACGCCAAGATGGTATAGATCGGGCTTTAAGTTCAATCGGAGAACAAGTGATCGTGGATCTGATGGCTCTTTGTGTAGATTGGAGCTTTTTCGATTGAAAACTTAGTAGATATCGTTCGTTGTGTGGTTATCGTGACATTGATGAGTAATAAAGGTAGAGAAAACGAATGTTGTTGTGAGAAGTGAATGTTACCTGAATGTTAATGATTTTTGTTCCGTGAGAAATTCATGTGCATCATTGAAAATGAATGACTTAGTTACGAAGGTATAATGAAGCAGTGTTTGGTAGAAGAGACGCCGTAGTGCGGTGCGTTTATGAGTGATCCTCTCGGTTTAAAGTTTGTTTCCGAGAGGGTGTGATGGACAAGACAATATTACTGTAGACAGCTCGACTACATTGGAGATGTAGAAGAATGGGATCGATGATAGTACAGCACGGATGCAGTTCAGATGTTATTTCTGCTAATGGCAAAGTGACCAGGGTGTGGTACACTGAATGGCAGCGATTCTTCATTATAAGAAAGCTGTTGCATGTTTCATTCCAAAGCGTGAATGTATTGATTGTTTGATGGGGAGGTTTTAGTTCTTTTTGTGGTTCATTTTTGGAGAGAGTAGTATTCATCCGTTATGTATGAGTTCTACGGTGCGTTTGAAAGAAACACTGTTATAAACTGACTAGAATGACATAGTGAAGAGAGAATAATTAAAAAATAGCACATCGAATCGTTCTGTTAGATTAATCATTTCCCACCATCAGCGTAGTCTGAAAACAAGTTATTTTGCTGAATATGATCAGCACTATTCACTCTTGGTGCTTATCCATGTTAAAATATCAGGAAAGTGTTTTTGCAGTACTTTATCGTGGAAAGAGCTTTGCAATATATTTTCGAGCTCGTTTGTATATCATTCTGATAACAGGGCTTTGTATTTATGGTTTGCTTACATCGAACATCTCGACACTGTTTGAAACGCTCAGAAGTTTGAAGTCGTATGAAATTTAATAATAGGGAGCTATTGTACCCTTGCTCTGAGATCTATCTTTTGAATGATGACAAAGTTGAAACCGCTCAGGTGTGCATAATTCAACATCTTAGTCTGTGCGCTAAGATATTACATATATATTCGTAGTGTTCTCTAGCATTACACTGTAAGAGAACGTACATTTCATTTGGTTTAGGTACCTGTCTTCGAGTTCTCTGCACGTATCGGTGATTGAAAACTCGTGCGAGATGATGATCATTGAACAGAAGTGGATTTTGGCTATCTGGAGCCACCCCAGACTGAATTTATACATGTAGTATTACTACGTTTAGAGGTGTACCTGAAATGGTATGTATATAGCCCGCCTGTTTGCAAGGAGTAAACAGCACTTAGTCAAAATACACTCATATAAATCGAGTGGACTGAAAGTATGCAAAGGATCATTATCTAAATACAGATATTCTTGCTTTTAATCGCGGTATTTGCACACATTTAGTCTCTGTTTGTTTACAAATGAGTACCAACAACGAATACAACCGTGTAGTAATAGTCTGTATGTGTTGTAGATAAACAATAGAATTTGCAACAACCAGCAATATTATTCACGAAGTCTGATATAATGCTATCGACAGGATTTGTATATATGAATATATAAAGCAGTCGAAGATGAGCGTGCCCGTGGTCAAAGAAGGAAAATATGTGCATTTTGTTTTCAGCAAATAAAATCGCGCCGTACGATACTGAAACTTTTTAGCTGAGTATACAGTCACTTTTTATTACCACTAAAAATAGTGAGAAGAAATCGTCATTGTTAAAGTCAGGTAAACATGCTTGGATTAATTCATGTTCTTCTCAGTAGTTGCAGAAACCTCTCTTAACACATGAAAAATATCCTCCCATATTTGTTCTGGTTAGAGAGCTCTCGCTCAAAAGTATCATCTTCTGATGGTAAATGTTGTGAAGTTTTCAGTTTAGAACTAATATTTCCAACAACAGCCATGGCCAAGTTCAAGATAACGAATGCGTGCACAATGAGACTTATTTCAATATACATATGTAATTTATAAGCAATACCCGCCCATTGAACTCGCTGGTCTGATACTAAAATGTTAGAACTATATCGTTCAGCATACTTGAAACACCATAGAGACTTGTTTCACATCATAAACCAAACCACTTGTCTCTTTGTAAGAAAAAAGTCGTTTTTGCCTAGTCGATTATCATGACCTATCCATAATATCCTCTGTTTTTCTATTTCTATTCCAATTCAATGAACACGTTTAGCTTTATACCATGTTTAAAACCAATGACACCCTACTGTACGTCACATGATGTTCTGTTTTTCAGGGCAGAAAAGCAACAGGTTCACGCATACTTATAATGGATCGGAAAGATCTCATTTCAAATAGACCATATATCGAATAAGATTCGAAAAAAAGATGCACAAGAAGAAGCTAATGTAAAGTTTGAGGTTCCCAATCTTAATTACGCTTTAAAGGATGGTTGCTCAGAGCGACTAAACTCCAGCGGATGCGATGGGAATGCGCCGAAAGTCCAAGATTCTTAGCATTTCTGGCATCCGACAAAATCCGATCTTTTTCCTAGCGGATTTCTGCAGATTCTGAAAGCTCGATTACTCGTTGTTTGTTTTTAATTCGTTTCTAATTCTCTTTTCTGAAAGAACGAGTAATAGCGTATAAAATACGGTCGTTAAAATGCTAAAAGTTTGTTTGCATAATCCAATCAGATTGCAGTATTTTATAAATCAATGAAAACCTAACCATACTTATTAGAAAACGATTGATGAAAGGTAATTGGAGTCTAGGATCTCGAATCTTATGTTAGTTTCCGAAAATTCTAATTAGCTAATTGACTAATTAAGTAAGGGGGAAAAGTTTTTTGTCGAGTAAGGGTTGATCGAAGGATAATCGAGGTTGAAGAACTCAAATATGACGTTAGCTTTTTCTTAGTCACGTACCTTCGGCTTCTTTCTGTTTTTTCAGAAGAGATATTTTTCTCTATCGTCCTAAAATCTTTTGTAGAAGGTAGTGGTTTCAACGCTACTGCCGGATGTGATGTGGACCAATAGAGTAGTTTAGGAGTTTACAGAAGAAGATTTAATATACCATACATCATGATATTTCTAGTCCAAGAAATCATACAAAGTGGTATAAGCTGAATACCATTTGTGTCTTCTAGGCTGCGATACATCTAGTCTTCCGATAGGAATTTAGTGGAAATATGTGCCAGAGTGATATACCCGTAAGTGCAATTCCATCTTATTAACTACAAAGACATGGCCTATACAAATAGTATTCTAAACATAGGGTGCATTATGATGCGTGTTCTTTTCACAGCAAATAATAAAATAAAACTTTTATCTATTTTCTTTTCGGGATCAAATACATGGAAGATCAGCACTTTCGAAGCCAAAATGAAAGGAAGCACAGTTATTCAGTTTAAAAGTTAGTCAAATGTGAAAGACATAACAGAGGTAGCGTGGCAAGGGCTAGTCGTGAGTGACCGACAGGAGGGAGGTCGACGAACGACTAAACGTTTGTTTCAAATACTACTTGAGAGATGAGATTTATAAGAGTCTCAGTTAATGTCAATGATTTTTTTAACGAATATTACTTGATGTCTTTCGAGCTTCGAGAATAAGTCCTGCAGATTATCAGCTCTTTAAATTGAAAAGAGTAATAGAAAATGTTCTGTAAATCGCACAGTTATGTCGAACTTTGACAGCTTCGGTTGCAGACCGACTCAGTGTAGATGAGAGTTGAAAGACGCAGATAGTTTAAATGATCTTTAAGAAAATTTAACTAATACTCTTTTTGAGAACGAGACCACTCAATTATCGAGTTTCGCAAGTGGAAAGAAGAGTAGAATCTGTGACAAAAATCACACTATTATGTAAAGTTTCAATATCTCGGATGAGAAACCGATCAGTTATGAGCGGGTCAACTGTTCGGCGTGAAAATGGGAANGTCGGATCTCGTCGGACCCGAAACATGGATTTCCTGGATTTTTTAAGGATCATCATAGAATATAGCTAGAAAGATCGCTCATAAAATTTGCAACAACCGACGGGATTTTTCTAGTCGGATTCCAATGCAATTCCGTTTCCAGGAATCCGATCGGATTTTGTCGGATGGTCGGATCCGGTAAGATCCGATCGGATCCAGCATCGGATTTGTTGACCTGGGTACACTCAAAAGAGCATACTATGTCAACCATGTTCTCGAGTTTACATCCATCGTCATTTTGAACGTCAAATAAAGTTGCATAGTAACTCAAAATATGTTCGATATGGATTGTTCATGAAACTAACTAGTCAGTCGCCCACTCACGGCTAGCCGTGATAATCTAGGAAATGTTTCTCCTATCTCTAATTATAATAATACTATCTTTCAGAATTGTTTGTGGGAGTAGCTTCAATCTTTATCCCTACTGTAATCTCAAAATGGGCGAGAGTTTTCCAACAATACTGTCCTGATCCGAATATCAGTAATCAATCGCGAAGATAGATGAATACTTTTAACTTATCCACACGTAGGATATGCTGAGCACGGATTCGCACATGAGTGTATTCCAACTCTCGTTCCGAGTAAAACTCGATGAGTTCTATCGATTACATGTCTTATTTATCAGTTTTAAATCATATGCAGCTGAGAAAAATGCCAATTGTCAAGTTACCATGCACACGTACATTGACAAAAAATCTGATTGGTGAATTCACATGAATCAATAGCTATTTTTCATATCGGAAATTTTAGACTTTATTGATGAATGTTAATCGAATAATCTAAGCATGTAACATGAAAGACAAGTTAAAGCGTTTATAGATGGTACACTTTGTTGGCTGCTAGATGCGCGAAATTGCGAACGAGGGAAACAAAAACTTGTCAAAAGGGATTGTTCGATAGAGAAGGAATTTTACCCAGGACGATGGTTCCTGAAGCAGGATCCTATGACTTTCCGACAAAATCTCTGAGGAAACTCGCCATTTCTGAGCGGAATCCGATGAAGAAATGTGGTAACCGTTTCCGGCTACTGGTTTTCACATGTTCCTATCGTTTCCGTGCCGGATTATTCGACCTGGGTGACATTTTTTCTCAGCCATATATGATTCAAAATTGATAAATAAGACATGTAATCGATAGAGCTTATCGAGTTCTACTTGGAGCAAAAGAAACGAAAGTTGGAATAGACTCATGTGCGAATCCGTGTCCATGACATCCTACATTGATGATCTTTCATGAGTAAACTCTCAGATTTTCTTTGAAAGTTTATTAAAAACAACAATTCAATTATCCATTGAATAAGTGTAACTGATTTCACTCGTGACTTTCAAATCTGAATTAAATCGTATCAATAAGATGATTTTCGGTGATCAATTTTATCTGTATTGAAAACAAGACTTGCTGTCAAATATTCCAATCAAACATGGGATTTCTTCATAAATTCTTTCATTTATCAAACTTTTACTTCATTAGCAAATCGTTGTCCTAATGATCACAATATTGTCGTTCTATTCAGGTTTTACAATTAATCAGAAAATGAACTTATCAGTTGAAATTTCTAGAACTCCACAATTCTTTCACATTGTTCCACAAATCAAACACTCCATTCATTGAGTCAATGTAAAGAAAGCATTTTTCTCCAGAGAGGACAATTAATCAAGATGCTGATTGAAAAATTCGTTTCAAATATTTCTTATAAGCATTATTTCCTTCAATGGGTTATCGTTCGATACTGAAAGAAACCTCTGTGTATAGCTGATAGTGGAAGTCATCGCATTTGGAGATCGGATTTAATATGTGAATGAAAGCTTTTTCAAATTTAAAATGACTTTTGAAGAACAACATTGAATAAATTTTTTGCCTTTTTGCTAAGCCAGAATGCAAAATGTAACGATAATGATATCGTTCATCTCTTTCTGTTCTTTATCCTCTCACCTCTATATCATACTATCTCCGGGTCATCTCTCTCTTTCCTCTTCTCTATATAAGCGCGTGTCTTATTGTGAAGAGATACATTCTGGTCATGTAGAGTAGTCAATAAACATCTATACCGTGAGAAGCGGTCAGCTACTCAACCAGTTTGTCATTACATGGCGACCCTGGCTAGTGAATCTTCGCAAATCCACTCGAAATAGATTCTCTAGTAAACACAAACAACAATGAAGATCAATCAATGGATAAATCGAAATTTAATGGGCAATCGGTGACTGCAATGTATGTAAAATAACAAGGATGAATTTTGAATTAATGCGATGATGAACCTCCTCAACGGCATGAACGGCATCAGAATCGGATGGGCAAGCGTTGGCAGGAATATTAATCCAGAAAGAATTATTTGAAATGAAGAAATGGAAGAATTTTATTTGTCTGTAGCTGCGAGAACGACCCAACGACTGAACAGCCGAGTTATCCGGGAGAAGAATGACATGGAAGGGTTCCACTTCTACTGCGTGGCGATTCATTTTATTGGCACAAGATTCGTTCAAGTAAAGCTGCATACAGAAGAGTGCACTAATTGACTCATTATATTTTTTGCTGTGTTTGATACATCAAGCTAATCGGTTTAAGCAAGAGGATGAGAAAAAGTCGTATGGAATATCTCGTATTAATGCGTGTGTGTTTGTCATTATGTTAATTTTTTGTATGAAACGTCGTAGTCGTTGGAGCGAAATTTTTTTTTAACTACTTCGTTATGTGTAAACGCTTATAAATCGCATTTTGTGTTGAGATATCTCTAGTGCATTCGATGAGTTTATATTGTTCTTATTCGTATGACCTTTCTCGTGATCATTATCTACTCATCTTCATTTTTTTTTCGCCTTCGACTTAATATTGTAAAGACGCTCAGGAGCGCGTCTAAGCTGAGTGGGAGGGTGTAACGATAATGATATCGTTCATCTCTTTCTGTTCTTTATCCTCTCACCTCTATATCATACTATCTCCGGGTCATCTCTCTCTTTCCTCTTCTCTATATAAGCGCGTGTCTTATTGTGAAGAGATACATTCTGGTCATGTAGAGTAGTCAATAAACATCTATACCGTGAGAAGCGGTCAGCTACTCAACCAGTTTGTCATTACACAAAACTCGTTGAAATTTCTAAACACTTCAATAGTCTCAAATGATATTCAAAAAAATAAAAGCAAATAGATGTATTCTAGTAAAATAACATCAAGTTGAAGCATTTCTAATTCGGAAGCATCAAGAGATTGTTCCGCAATCCCGAATTCAATAGTTAATTGACAATAAAACCGAATAATTGTCGCAAATACATTTAAGTGACACACAAAGATTTAGATTGAAGCTTGATGGGAAGGTTTAAGATAACTTCGTTCTGTTCTATTGAATTCCATGGGATAGAACGAGTACTGCGCGCTTATCTCAATCAAATTCAAACGAATGAATTATGTTGGATTAAGTAACAAATACGCATTTTTGTTACTTGAATGGCGAATACAAAAGTTCCTTTTTTTCTTGTATCTACGAACATTAAATAATGTTATCAGAAGGGTTACTTTTAGGTTATTATCTTGTATATAATATATAGGTGAGCGCAAAAATATCATTTAAATACTAGTTTCTGTTGTGCATCGAGATAGCATAAAAACCTACCTGAGGGCAATGATATCTGGTAAAAATCTTGAAAATAATCGAGATATTATTTGAACTGTCCTACTTTTGTTATTCTAGGCATTTGGATATTGTTTTGCCTTGTTTCAATATGCTGGACAGCACCTTTCGATCGAGAAAAAAAATGTGATCCAGATTGTGATTACAATATAACCCAACTTATACAAACCAAAGGTTATCCATGTGAAGAACATAAAGTCTTAACAGAAGATGGTTATATTTTGGGCGTCTTTCGCATCTCACATGGTCGTAATGGCTCATCAGTAGGTCGACCAGTTCTCCTACAACATGGGCTTCTTGATAGTGCCGTAACATGGGCGATGAACTTTCCCGATCAAAGTCTCGCTTTTATCTTAGCTGATGCCGGCTATGATGTCTGGCTGGGAAATATGCGTGGAAATTACTATTCTCGTGCCCACGTCAAATACAATCCTGATCATGACGAAGAATTCTGGGATTTCAGCTGGGACGATATGGCACGTGATGACCTACCGTCGATGATTTATTATATTTTAAACGCAACAAAACATACACAAGTGGCTTATGTTGGCCATTCACAAGGAACAGCTATTGCTTTTGCTGAATTCGGTCGTATGAATAGTGTTCTACAAAATAGTGTTAGCTTTTGGTCAGCGTTAGCACCAATAGCACAACTCGGTCATATCAAATCGCCTATCAAATACTTATCACCACCCGCTATAGCAGACAGTATAGAACGTATTTGGCATTTAATATTTGGCCGAAATGAATTTTTACCTTCATCATCCATGATACATTGGTTTGCAGAACATGCTTGTGATAAGACGATTATCGATAAAGAAGTCTGTGAAAATATTCTATTTGTTCTATGCGGACCAGAAACGAATAACATGAACATTTCCCGCATTGCTGTTTACGGTGCTCACGAACCTGGTGGAACCTCTGTAAAAAATATGATTCACTTTGCCCAAGGTATACAGTCGAATCTGTTCCAAGCATATGATTATGGTTCACCAGAAAAAAATCAATTGCATTACAATCAAACGACACCACCTCTATATTCAATCCGTCCCATCAAAATTCCGACGGCTATATTTTGGTCAGGCGAAGATTGGCTCGCTGATCCTGTGGATGTCGCTTACATATTTGATAATATTCAAAGTTTGGTCTATGAAAAATACATTCCGGATTACAATCATTTAGACTTCGTTTGGGGAATGACTGCAAATAAAGTCATCTACTCGGATTTGCTCGCTCAAATGAAAAAATATCATCCGCCAACGTAATTAAGTGACGTTCTCTTTTCTTTCTGTATCAGTACTAATGTATAAAAGTAATTGTAATTCGTTTCTATTCTTGTTTATTGTCGAACTTCCACATAGAAAAGATTTACATTCGCAAAGAAAACAAAACTACGACGACGGGCTACTATGACGACGTCGGCGATGTTCGTTCGAAGAACTTGCATTTCGATCATTGTCATCAGATGATTTTTGACGATGCTGTCGATCATTGTCGATAGTTATTATAGCTGCATTAGTATTTATCTCTTCGCCCAATAGTGCACCCTCTTCAGTGATCGGTGCAGCAGAAAATGTTAGCTTGAAAAAATATGGCCATCTCGATGCTAAAAACAAATCCATGAATAATATACTCTGATTACAGACGAAAATCTGTTATAATTACATGAATGAGGAATTGGATAATTATTCGCTAGGATCAAAGCCTCGCAAGCATCTGTAATTGTTCGAAATTCAGCTAGGCCAGTCACACCTCTCGGTTGATTATTATGTCGTCGATCACGGTCATCTATGACAGTAGAGAAAAAAAAGACAAAGATAGCTTATCAGTTGAATGCTTTCGAAAACAATGCTTACGATGGGATTCTTTGCGTGATGGAAAATTTTTTATCTTAACTGGTCGTTTAGCACCGACATCTTCAAAGAATCGGACAATATCAACTTCAGACATGTTCGGTGGTGTATTAAAATAATAGAGCACATGTGCTGGACCGACAGGTCGATTTTTCATAGCTTGATCACTTGTTAAATAACGATTATTACGATTTGTATCGAACTCCATATAGGATGCATCGCCATTTTCTAATGGAAACGGCCGAGCTAAAGGCTGCACTTCACTTTGTCGTGAATTACTTTGAAAAAAAAACGAATAAAAAACTATGAGTAAAATGATGATTCGAACGATGAACTTACAAAATAGTAAATGTTTGACCGAAGATGAATGTTGAACTTAGATTTTTCAAATGTTGATGAAGATTTTCACAACGATTCATTTGAACCATAGCCCCACCTTCTTTCGATTTCAAAAATTTGATCTAGAAAGAATGCAACCATCTAGTGATTAAATCTATTTGAGAACTCGGACGTACGCGTAGGACATTTCCATAGACACAGAGTAAATTGAATAATCGTTCACAGTTCCAGTTCGGTGAAGAAAGGCCATCAACATTGAAGACCGAACAATCCGATTTTATGGTTCGTGGTGGTGATGGTTCACGAAAACGATCCGATTCGGCTTGATAAGGAGGAAGACGTTGTGAACGATCAAGAGAACCCATTTGAGGAGCAGAAAAACGTGAGTTATTATCAAATAATTGTGATTGTTGTTGCACCAATGACGATTGAAAACTTCCTGGATTTTCCCACGATGACGCTGATCGATCCTGCGACGGCATACGTTGATTTAAAAATCGATCTAGAGCATTGATTGCCGGTGAAGTAAATCTTGCATTTGCCTAAGAAAATTATCGCTGTTCAACTATTTACTGATTAGTCTCTTCAACGTACCGAAAACGAATCGTTATTAACCATTGAAGGTTCTAAAATGAAGTTAAGGGACGTTAAACGAACTAATATAGGTTTGTTTCATTACCGAAACGATTAGTGGCTGATGATGACGGTGGTGGTGGTGGTGGTGACGATAATAATGTTTTCCGATGACCATAGCCTAAAGCAAGATATCAGATATAGAAGAACCCATCTCGTCAATTTTGAAAGAAGCTTGAAAGAAAAAGAATCTCCTTGTACATTGATCGTTTCTTGTTCAACCGTATTGTCTGCAATCTAAATAGAACAGAAATATATTGTAAATTAGCATCATTTATCGTTTTTCGATGTGAAAGTATTTATCTCCTAGAATATTGGAAGTATCGTTTGAACCTTGAGGGACACAACGATTTAGAGATTAGAGTCAGCCAGACATGCACAGTTTATCGCAATAATTATTTATTCGTTTTCAACTGAAAATCTATTTATAGAAGAAAAGTGTTTATATCGCACGAGATACAATGGCAAATACGGAAGAGATTTAGTTTACGGTGTGAGTATTTATACGCAGCAAAATAGCTTAAAAAAGTATCAGATTTATTTTATCTCGAAAATTATTATTTAAGAAATGTTTATATCTAATCGATGGACGGGTCAATTTTAGTTATGTCGAATATCTTTCAGAGTATAGAAATTAATATGTGTATAAATTAATTCGATATGAATAGATACTTGTATGATGTCTCTTACTTACATTTAAATCTTTGTTGCGATGATAATTGTCGAGAGGAATTCGTACATGTTTGTCATGAGTTTTTATAAAAATGAATCGCTAGATTGATATAAATTCTCATCACTTCTATACATTTAGTTCTAGACATGTTATGAGATGTTTGTTGGTTGTTGATGTTAAATGTAAGATAAACAGTTCACATTTATAATCATCTTTTCGCTTTCGAAATCCCTGTTTGATATTTTGAAGAAAAAGATCGAATCTTGTTGAATACTTACGATTATCATCGACTGTTAAATCGAGATTATCTTGATCGTTGACACGCACGACGAGATGCTTCAGCTAAAAAATGCGATGTTCATAGATCTGTATCAAGAAAATTGATTATTTACATTGGCAAAATCGATTTTTAATGTGCAGCAACCATAGTAGATGTCAGCCTAAAAAAGAGAACGATGAAAAAAATAGAAAGGAAACAACGCAGGAAACGTACACCGTCTAATTCAAGCTTGATTCGGCGAGCGGTTTCGGCCGAGTCGAATTCAACGAGAACTTGAATAGAACGTCGACGTAATATACAAATACGTAAAATTTGTCCAGTTATCGAACATATCTTTTGAATTATATCCTAAACGTTCACGTAGAATAAGATATTTGTCGTAAAATCAAAGTTTACCAGTGTAATCGGATATTTAGCATTTTGAACAGTAAGACAAAGCACAGCTGTTTCATTCATTGTAAAATTTGTAAATGGATTCATAGCTCTAAAATAAAATTGACTTAAAACAAAGAGACGTATTTCACTTGTCTCATACTCTGATCGTTGATCAACATCATTTCCTTCCAATAATGTTGAATTAGTATTGTTTCTATTGTCATCGAATGAATCCCATTTCATACGATGAGAACTACCTTGATCGTTTCGAAAATCGTCACCGCGCATACGTTTGATACCTTGTCCGCCATATGCTCCCGAATTTCTTGAATTATCATTACTATTATTATTACTATCTCGCATATAATTATTGAAATTTCCTCGGTGATGTTGTAGCATACTTCAAACAAACGAGAAGTAGAACAAGGTGATATAAATTTATCGAAAAATTACTTGCGACGCGGATCAGACATTTGCCGTGATGAATTGGGATATGTGTTACGTTTGTCCATGATATCAGTAAGTATTATGAAGTTTGTTTTGTTCTTCGTTTCGCGAAACAGTGAGGCGAGTTAAGTGTAAAATGTGAAGGAAAGAACAACGATAAAAAACAAAACTAAAATCATGATTGGTCAAGACGATGCATCAATGGAAAGAACGATAGGTGATGATGTCGTACGCTCTTTACTCATCCTAAATGGTAGAAAAGGTTATGCGTAAGTACAAAATTGACATCGTACTTCCAAATTGATGATTCTTCCATTGTATGCGCTCGAAGAAGTTCAAATCTGATTGAAATACATAGTACAAGGACGTTTTTTCTTTTTCATTATGAGTTCAAATTGTGTAGACCACATCTTGTATAGAAATTCCATTGAAAACAACCATCATTATTACTTTTGATATATCTGTCATGATAGACTAACAGCAAATGAATTAGACGAACAAGTTTAGACAATATTCACAATCAGCAATATTAGTTACTCCGTTTTTTTCGTCTTTCTGTGATTAGATTGAAATATTTGCGTTGTGCATGAAAGTGAAATATACGAACCGATTCATGTTATTTTGTTTTGGCGAACGATTACTGACGTGTATCGTGATTATTACTCTGTGCTGATATTCTTGCCGGCACAGCATGAAAACAGAACGAGTAGGTAGAAAGCAAACAAACAAGCCAATGAAATATGGATGACTCATGAAGCTAGCAAACGCGTCATCCACGTCATCATATGAGGACGTGGCTGTTTCGATTGCTTTTGAGCATGAGTGCATAGTATAAAAACAGGAACGATGTCATTCACCATAGCTATTTTTTCATAATAACCATGGAAAACATTCAGGCGACTATTCAACAGATGCTTAATGAAGATAAACGACGTGACACATTCAAGTTTCTAACCTCATTAACTGGACTCAAACTTAATGAAGAACAGGTGAATAATTTACCGAAATATATATTTTTTTCTTCGTTTCTGTTATTCGTAACTATCAATCGTTTTGTTTTTCAAGGTTTTTGTCATCGGTGGTAGTCAACAATTTTCTCACCGACATTCAACAATGGCTAATTCTGATGAACAACAAATGTCAAACGACAATAACAATACAACTCTCTCGATACTTGATCTTCCGGATGAAGTCTATCTTCATCTTTTCTCATTCCTTAGACCGATCGATCTCTGTCAAATCTCGAATGTTTGCAAAAAATGGTATCGTTTAGCAACAGATGACAATGTCTGGCGACAAAGATTATTACATGATATGAAAGCTTGGCCGGCGATTAGTTCGCGTTCCAACCCACTGAGCTATATGCTTGTTCAATCAGACCGTTCACAAAAAGAAATTTTCCTTACTTGTTCTCCAACCATTCACCGTTGTTCAAATCAGATTAATGACAGTCTTGTTTATTTATCCCAATTTTCGAATTATTTTCGCAGTTGGTTTATCGGATCGAAAGATTTGATTATGTTTGGCCCTGGATTAGAAAGTTACACATCTCCATTAGTCAAAAACCTTCTTTGGGATGAATCAAAACGTTTCCAAACCATGGGAATGATTCCCGGCCATGCCGGCTTCGGATCTGGTATAAAAATAAAACTCCAAAGTCATGTATTCAATCTAATCACTCTATACACTAACTGTATGAAAGAACGTGAAAATCGTCAAACTGGTGATCGTTTAGCGACAAGCAATCGCCTCGTTCGCTCGAATCACATCGATGATTTCGATATCAGTCCACAAGTTCGCGATGCTTGCCGTGAAGCGAATGGTCTTGTCTATGTTATTGAAGCTAGTCGTGATAACAAATTGAGTGATTTCTGTACGGAACTACAAGTGATGACTAGAGAATTTCGAAATTTACCATTATTGGTTCTCTCCTGTGTACGAAATACCGAAACCAAACGTTGGCCAGCCATTGATGTTGTTCGCGAACTACAAATGAGTTCCTTTGCCAACCAATGGTTAGTACAAGATTGCTGTGTTGATACATTGAAAGGTGTTGACGACGGTTTCATTTGGCTACTGGGATTACAATCTAATAACAATCTAGTTTTCGGTGCATCCAACGAATCAGAACTGAATGGTCCGTAATTGATTTTCTTTTTAAATATGTGTAGCTGGAAAACAAAACGAAATATTTATTTTTGTAAATAAAGTAGATATGATGATTTCCTTTCATGAACAACCTTTCCATATCAACTAGCTATTCAGTCATGATTAAACAATCTAAATAAATCATGACGTTTCGTTTTCTCATCAGATCGTATGGTATGTTCGCAGATTCCCTCAAGAATATTCAAAATCTAACACATGCTTACATTCTAATCATGTCATTTTCTAAAGTATATCAAATATCTTCTAAAACTTTTCTTTCTAAGCCGTTGAACACACACATACCGATTCACCTCAGTGTTTCCAATCGAGAAAACATTTTATTTGTCATGCACTAAGACTTCGAACTAGATAATAAAGAGTTATATACAATGAAATAAGTAAAATAAACAACGATATAATCTTGATGAACTATTTTAAATCGATGAAATCATCATCATTGGTATGCTCTGTCTCTGATGTGATTTGCTCTTGTTCTTTTTTTATTGTCCGTAATGCGTGTTTTAATACATAAGCAACGATTTCTGCGGATAGGTCTTGATACACTAGATCTTCGACATTGTTCGATGAGATACGTCGTGGACGAATCGTATGATGAAAATCATCGATAAAATCGTCTTCAGAATATTTATTCATTGAAATTTCATCAATACTGTCCAAAAGTATTTGATCGGCGAGTGTACGAGCATTCTGAACAATTGTATTTCGATCGTCAACAGAATATTGATTATTAATGTCACTGTCACTATCACTGTCCGCATCCACATCATCAGCAAATGAAACACTTTTGCGAGATTGTAAGAATGCTTTTCGTGAAGCTTTACTATAAACTTTTGCTTGTTTTGTCGAGTCATCATCGACTGTTATCACCGTCGTTGTATTATCCAATGTTCGTCGTTTTGTCGATGGTGAAAAGGTATTTTTTACTTTGTCAAATATCGATTTGAATGATCCACTTGCATCGATCTCAATTATTTCCAGTGGTGAAGAAGATGATGTCGAGCCTTGACGTGCACGAGAAGATGTCTCAACATCATGATCTGGTGTAGTACGCGCTTCTGAAGTGGGCCGACTTAAATCACGTTTAAGCGCAAGTATCGGTCGTGCTAAAAATAAAGTCAATCATATCATTAGTTATTCTCTGTTTCTCAATAAATGATTGCGTGTTCATTAAGTCAATAAATAGAATGTTTCTCTTTTCCTATTCTCTCGTACTCTTTGTATCATTAAATAGCAAAATGATATTTCAAACGGCCGATATTCTCTTGGAAACGAAACCAATAAGTAGAATACTATCGGATCTTTTTGAAAAACATATCAGATGCGAATAAGCACTCTCGTCGGTTAGAAATTAATGTATTCTCTTTCTTCTTCCAGCTAGCACAAAACAAACCTATTCGTGTGTGATGATGAATAGTTGTCTAACAAAAGTAACATGAAAGATTAGTAATGGCGATATTGAAGAACTTCCGTTCTCTTTGCCGTCTTGTTTATCGACGTGAGATATATTTCGTTCAGATTCATGTAATTAGTCGCTGTTAACTTACCGATCCGTTGTTCGAAAACCCCTTGCACTGCATTACTGTACGATTTCAATTGACCGAAAAGATTGTTTTTAAATGTATCGACTGGAAATGCCATAAAGATTTCGAATGACTAAGGAAAAGCTCTTTTTTTCTCTAGAATATAGAAAATAGGGGAAAGGCAATAGACGAAAGAAGAAAAAAAAAAGAAGAAGAAAGCAAGTTGCAAGCTCATTTATTTCTTATCTCACTATTTTTTTTCTTCGTCCCTCTCTCTCTCTCTTTTCCGCGCTTTCTGCATCACATGAAGACTAGAGATTTAACATCAACATCTTCCTTCTAGACGATCTTTTTATATTTCTATTGTTTTCTTCTTCTTCTTCTTCTCATCATGTGCTCAATTTTCTGCTGAAGCAAATTATAAGAAAACATCGACAGAATTGTTATCGAATTACAAATTGAACACGACTACATCGATCTATGCGCTAACTTTCTCTTATTTTCTACTAGCATGCTATTACGAAGAAAATGACCTTCTAATAAAATTGACAGACACTAACTAAGAACACGAACAGACAATTTCCGTTTTGTTTTTCTCGCCGGACAAAAATAAACATATAGAAATAATGAAAACAAGTCATCGGACAACATATCTCGTGATCTACTCGACCAGCTGATAAAGCGATCAATTATCCAATTGAAGATGATATTGTGCTAAAGTTGATTAATTACAGATTGTAAGATATTTGATCAATTTACATTTGCCGTTGAATAGGAAAACGAGCGATAACATTTACTTGGCATTCTCCTCTTTTCTCTTTCTCTCCGATCAACTTCCATTTCTTTGCCGGAACTTCTCATTATCTCATTTATGAAAGAGAAAAAGAAAAAAAAACCTAGAAATGCATAGAGAAATCTCGAGACGAACGTTACGATAGAAAAAGAAGAATCCTATTTAAGTAAAGCATACTTTCTCATTGCATTTCATCGAAGCGAAAGCAACGATACTGATTATGGCATAGTCTTTGTCATTTTCATACTTCACGGATACTAACTATACACAAGGGAGCGATAGAGTGCTCATTTTCCCATTCTCTATACTTATGTTGGACTCGAATAATAAACGAAAATGACAGTGAAAAGATGCTGACGAAACATCCGCATCTGCTACCACAATGATCACCATTCCTAGATCAGACATTCGGTAAAAATCTTTCTTTCTTCTTCATTCGACTGTCGACAACGCGCGCATAGATCGAACAAACTATTAATTATAGAAAAGAAACTTTTTCTAAAACATAGAATCAAATGATGGATGTGTATATACGTTTCGATATATCTCAATGAAAAGAATAAATTATGCGGGCATACACGTTAGCATATTGTTTGAATCTGATTGACAGTACTGATTCTACCATGTTTGGCAGAAACCGAGAAAAAAACAATAACGGCGAGTTGCATGCTAACGATGATCATTCGAGGTCTATCATAACAATGTTGTTTCTGTGAGATAATCACAAGTTGTGCATACTAAAATTATTCTTCATTCGTCATCTTATTAAGAATTCACTCATAGAACAGACTTGATTGGAAAAGGAGTAACATGAAGACAGAAGCCTATTTTCTTTCACTTCAGTTCATAGTAATACTACAGTAGGAAGTCTGTTGATGAGTGAGAAGGTTTTGATACATCCCTCGTGTGAATCTATAAATATTAGAAGCGAGAAATCTTTATGATTCATCTCCGAAACTTGATAGTAATTATAACAGTTTTTGCACTGATGTTCTTTTAGCATTGTGCTTGAAGCAAATTTCATTACTTTAATATGCAAGTGCATACATTTCAAAATACATATTAGAAAAATTATGTTGGAATGATACTTGATTAGAAATGAAACACACCATAGTTATAATTACTAATGTAACGACGTTGCAGGAAAGAAACGTGAAATATCATACGTAGGAAATGGATTTATCAAAGTTCATGTTATATACGGAAAGTTAAACGAACGGTAGCTTCTCACACAGCAGGTCGCATTCACCACCTATATATGCGAATGTCGAACAGACGGCTACTCATTCTATGATTTGATCAGTTTTACTACGTCAATGTTGATGTTTTCAAGAATAGAAAGATCAAAGAAGATGTTCATATTTCATCGTTTTGCCCTACCTGTGACCGATACAGACATGGATTCACGCAAGCTAAGTCTCTTTTTGTCGCTCCATAGTCAATCACATTACTGTATAAGATTCAAAAACATCCTCTAGATTGATTCAATTTGCTCAATTGATAAGTATAAAAATGCTTAAACAATTGCGAGCATTGCTTTTCTTTTTGAAAAAAAAGCAGCAAATCATGCACGATCGTTACTTTATTAAAGCTATTAATATTTGTTTTTCTTATTTTCCAATCTATTCCTTCATGATTGAAGATACGAGACAAATAGAAAAAAAAGATGTAATGCTGATTTTTCTTTTTGAATGCTTTAGATATTGACCTTGTAAAAGAAAAGAAAAGTAGCTCGACGATTCTTGTTTGTTTACTTGTAATACAGATGGTAATAGGGAAAAAATGAAATGAAATAATAGAAGAAGAAAGAAAGAGAAAAAAAATTCAATAACAACAAAAAGAAAAGATAAATGAAGAGACGATCGATGGATTCTGTCGCGCGCGCATTTCATTTTTCGTCACCAGAATCGTTTTACCTACACTCACACGTCGAAAAAAAAAGAAGACAAAAATATAGAGAAACAGAATGACAGAGACAAGACAAGAAAGAAAATAATAATGACATTTTGTGTTTTTGAGTGTCTTTTTCGAAAGAACTGCGCAATTTCTTTTCTTTTTTTCACAAATCTTCGTCATCGTCGGGTAATGCTGCATTTTGAGCATCGGCTATTTCCCGTTCGTATTCCTTGATTTTTTCGCTATCCATTTGAACTTCAGCTGGCTACAAAACAAAGAAATATATATTCAATCTTTGCGGAAAACCTTCAACATACCATAAGAGCTGGCATAGCAGTAAATTCAAGGTTGGCATCACCAGCTAATTTACGTGCTAACCAGAGAAATGGCTTTTCGAAGTTGTAATTTGATCGGGCGCTAATATCATAGTATTGCATGTTGTTTTTACGGTGAAATGTTATAGCTTTAGCTTTAACTTTACGATCTTTAACGTCGACTTTATTTCCACAGAGGACAATAGGAATGTTTTCACATACACGAATTAAATCCTTGTGCCAGTTGGGCACGTTTTTGTATGTGATACGTGACGTCACGTCGAACATGATGATCGCACATTGACCACCAATGTAATAACCATCTCGAAGACCTAAAAAAAGAAATGACCAGGATAAGGTTTGATGAAGGGAAAGGGCGCGCATATATACCGCCGAATTTCTCTTGGCCAGCTGTATCCCAGACGTTGTAGACAATTAAACCCCGATTTGTTTGAAATTGAAGTGGATGAACTTCAACACCGACGGTTGCATTGTATTTCTTTTCGAATTCACCGGTCAAATGTCGTTTGACGAATGTTGTTTTTCCTATTGATGGGAAAAAAGAGGACACATATAATAATCTGAAAACAGAAATGCTTCTGCATTGCATCGTCTACATACCAACACCACCGTCACCAACTAACACAAGTTTAAATTCGGGTGCTTGTTGAGCCATAGTTTACTTTGACTTGATTGTTGAATTGGATGAAGAGAAGTAGCGTGTGAGTGGCTTGTGGTGATCTGAAAGAAAGACGGAGAATGTTGCAGTATTACATTGAAATACAAGCGAGCAAGACATTCTCAGCACGTATTTACGCAATTCTATGACTAATCGTTGTTAAAGAAACTGTCAGACGGATAAAAGTAAGTTCTCTGTCATGTACAGAGGATCCGTACAGGTCTGTGGGAGATCATCATTCAGTTTCTTTTGTGAAAAAAAGAAGAAAATACTCGAATTTTCTCTCTGACGACTAGGATGGCGATAAATGAATGTGCACTTGCAGAAAGAATAGGCAATAAACAAAGTACAAAGACATCCATATTTTCCCGTTGATTCAATGAATCATAGGTTTCCTTTCTTCTTTTCTTTCTTTTCATGTTCTACTACCTCAGTCGCGGTGTAATTGTGGCAGCAACAAAATAAAACAAAAGAGGTCGCTAGTTTGACGTCAAACATCTTTGGCCAGCAAAGTTTAATAAAAAACAAAGAGAAAATGAATAGAGAGAGAGAGAGAGCAAGAAAGCGCATTTACAACGCCAAAAAGGAAAAGGAAGAAAATGCCCGTTAACAATGTACAAAGTATGAGTTCGTTAATACAAAAGAGAAAAAGCGAAACAAATAAGCATACACACACACACACATATGAAGAAGAATGTTTCGAGCTAATACACGAAAAATAAAAATATATAGTCCGTTTTTCTAGGGTGTCTCTAATCTTCTCACTCCTCTCCCCTTCGGTGTAGATTACGTGAACAAAAACAAGGCAATCAAGTAAGGTTTAATCTTCTAAAACTAAAATAAGAAGCCAGTCGATATGAATAAATTCTATTTACAATAAAAATTAAAGACAAAGAAAAAGAAAAACAAACGAAGTGTTTATCAGCTGCGTAGAGATATACATATATTTTCTTATGTTCACTGGTGAGAATATGAGAGCGAGAGAGAGACAGAGAGAGCAAAACAGAGTTCGAAAAGGAAAACAAAAAAAACAATTCACACGGGTTCTTTTTTGAAGAGAGAAGAAAATATAGATATTCAAATAATTACACAACACACTCGATGTTTATTTGAGGTCGATTGATGCGCCTTTTGTACATTTTCGGTATTCGTTGAGCCTTCCACCGTCGATTTTTGTTGTTGTTGATGTTTGAGAAGAGAGTATTTTAATGTTGACAATACTGAATGTTGAGAGGGTGTCGGCGATGTAACTGTGCTGACATGACCGTTGGATTGATTGATATTCTCGGTTGTGGGAGCGATGATGTTCGATTTACTTAGACCGTTACTTGACTTTTTGCTGAAATTAGGTTTGGTATTTAAATTCGGCGAAGACACCGATGGAGGAGAGATGTCTTCTTCCACAATAATTGGGGTTTGAATTAATTCGGTATGTGACGGCGTTTGTTGTGAACGTTGATGTTCAATAATGGTCTTGATTGCATCCGTTGTATCGTGATGTGGAGTTTGTTGCAGTAAACGTACAACTGGCGGTGCATCTGTCTTTGTAAACACAGTCGATTCACGCGGTGTGGAATAACGTATAGATGTTCGAGATGCTATTGACATCTGTGATGGATTAGCAAGACGATGTTCAGTCGATAGACTACGTGTACGATCATTCATGAGCGTTAAGCTTGGTGTGGCAGATATTTCGTTGTTCATTTCGTCAGTTGCACTATTCAACGTTAGACGATTATTAGATGCAATTGAACTAGCACGAGAGAAACTTCGACGTTTAGGATTGTCAGTATTTGTGTTAGTATTGGAAATGATTTGCTGTTGTTGTTGTTGCTGTAAGAAATTAGTTCCATCGCCTAAACAAGAGAAGTATAGAAAAGCTATGCAATCGGCTAGTTTTTTTTTGTTAAATACCATTGATTGTTTCACTGAATTCTTGAAATGAGCATGGCCGTGTAGGAGAACGTGTTTGCTGTTTTCGACTGGATGAACGATTCATGTCGAAACTACTTCCATTATCTTCACTATCTGAACTGGAACGACTACGAGAAAAATTTCGGCGTTTCTTCTCCACTACGGATCGTAAATCTTTCGAACGTAAGATTCCACTGGTCGTTGTTGAGTTGTCAACGACGGATGAACCGCCATTGTGAAGCAATACTGTAGTATTTGGTGTCGAAGAATTCTCATCGTCGTCGCCACCGCCATCCTCATCATTATCTTCTTCTTCTTCTACAAGAGGTAGAGCGAGAAAGAAATAACACAGACTCCACGCATCTACTGTACATACCGCTTTCAACTATTTTATTTAGTTTAGACAAATTCCCTAGTTGTTGAAGTGCAGCCGCAGTTTTACTATAAAATAAGGATATATCTATATATATATTCAAATTTCACCAACTGTTGAGCTTACTCAGCAGGTGGCGAATCCGAATTTTCATCTTCTTCAAGGATAATTCTCATTGCTTGCGTTGGTGCAGTTGGTGTCGTCGCAGTAGTCGAACGTTGCTGCACAGACGGTCGTTCTTCTTCATCTTCGACTAAAGCTATAAGTAGAAAAACAAAATCATTTCATTCAGATGTTTGTTAGCAAGTCGAAAAAGATAATCGCGCATCGTTATCAAAACGTTTCATCGCCTAAGCACACGACAGAATCATGTTGAAGGACAAGATTCATTTTGTTATTCTACACGGAGTTTTTAGACATCAATTACAGAAAGAATGCACTTATAATCATCGAAAGTACCGAGCAATCATTGGTAGAGAAGCCGTGTCAATAATGATTAGTTTTTTTGTATGAGATAATCGAATCTTTAGTGATCAAACATGCATAAACTACATATCAATGATATCGTACCACGATCAAACGTTAATTGAAAAACAACTATATTCATATAGATTCGAGGCAAAGGCTTCTTCTTGTCTTATTTTTTTACCTGGCAATGTTTGTTCAGCTGAACAGTCAATCGATTGTCGTGGAGTTGTCATCACCGGCGGTAGATTTTCTTTTCCCGGACTAGAAAGAAAAACAGATCAATAATTGAATCAGTATTCAGATGAAGCAAAAATGAAGATTTGTAACCCATTCCCGTTTATAAAGCAATGTATAGCATTAAAATGCTGCCTCTTACATATTGCAGATCTCGTTATTATTATTATTACAATCGACATTCTCGTCAACAAATGAACTTGTTCGTGTTGTTGATGAAGATACGTCATCATGGAGAAAACTAAAACATGTGTAACTATGTCTATTAGCGAAATCATGCAAAGGAGTTTATACTAAGAGATGGACACTTTTCGAATTGAGATGAAACGTACTTTGATGACGATGGTGACATGAAGACACCGATTTGTTCCGTGAATGGATCACTTGCTGGCTGTAAACGTCGTTGTCGTTTTGCACTTCGTTGTTCATTGTCTTCGTTTGTTTCACATAAACGATCATTCAACATTTTTTCAGCAAGGAGATAATAAGTAGCTGTGATATGGTTGTATTGATCTTCATTTAATGCACTTTTATATAAGAAGAAGACAGTTGATTAGAGGGAATAGAATGAACGATGAGTATTACTGTATGATTGCATCTCGTTCGGCAATATTTCCATCGATCATCTGTTGGAGAATCGATTCGTGATCAGTTTGTGATATCGTTTTATGTGATATCAATGGTAATGAATCAACATAATGTTGATCATCAACATTGTCGTTATCGTCATCACATTGACGATACCAAGTATCAGACATGACTTCATCCAATGACGCACGTTTCTCTGGTTCGCGAACGATCATTCGATGAATTAAACTAAAACGAGAGATGAACAGTCATTGTCTGATTTGAATCGATTGCGTACTTTTGACATTCTGAGGAGATGTTTGACGGAAGTTTATAACAACAATCTAGAATCATCATCACTGTTTCGGAATCATTGGCTTCTTGGAATGGTGCTCGGCCCGTAACAAGCATAAATAAAATGACACCTAAACTCCAAATATCTACAAGACAGAAATAGAACGACATGTTTTCAGGTATAACCTGTGAATACTATACCTATAGCCGTTGCATCATAAGGATCGCCGAGTAGGATTTCTGGCGCGGAATAGGCAAGTGATCCACAACTAGTTAGTAATTTTTTACCAGGTGAGAATCGATTGGAAAATCCTAAAAGATACATTGATGATCCTTTTCGTTTTAAGCAGAAAGCTTTCTTACCAAAGTCAGTTAGTTTCACGACACCTTGCTTTTCAAAAAACACCAAATTTTCAGGCTAAAAGATAAAGTAATCAATAGATAGTTCGTACAGTCCATGAAAGCTGATCTCCCTGTCGGCATCTACGCGCGATCCATTCCTCGGAAAAACAAACTATTCCCTCCTCGTCATTAGTAATACGATTCAAAATGACTTGCATTCTCAAAACAGCTGAGTTCTCTGATCACTTTTCATCCATTCCAAGGACACAAATTAGAATACAGCGATTACTTACTTTAAGATCTCGATGACACACATGCATTTCATGACAATATTTCAATGCTCGACATATTTGTCGAAAATATCTCCGAGCAATGGATTCGCTAAGACCATTAACATGTTTCATAATATAATCGTACATATCTCCACCATCTCCAAATTCCAGAATTAAATAGAGTTTATTCGGCGTGTCAATCACTTCATAAAGACGAACAACATTCGGATGTTGAACTAATTTCATACACATGACTTCTTGAAATAAATGAGCTTTGGATATATCATCGAGTTTGGTTTTATCAATAACTTTGACAGCAACTTCTTTCTGAGTAAATACATGCCGAGCAAGTTTAACAACAGCAAAATGACCCGTGCCAATAGTTGCCCCTGTAATCGAAAGACATCATTTTGAAAGTAACAGATGAAATATCCATATATTTACCTAAAGTGTACAAGCCACTGACTAAATTACGCAGATCTGAGAGTCGACGTTCGGAGGACATGGTCATATTTTTTATAGATAACTACATTTCTTTTTATCTATTGACTTTTCTCGACATTTTTCACGAATAACAAATGAGATTCCATGAATTGAGTCTGAAAAATGAATAATGCAAAGATTGATTAGTCAAAAACATCGACGAAGAAAATATGACTCTGTCAACATCTAATTAAGACATATATGATAAACACAGCGACAGACTCAAGAGAACAAATAGAAAAAAGTGCTTGCACACTTCACGACGAGCTCTTTTATGTTTGCTTTCGTCATCTTATTGAACAATACTGTCTTTCCTCGCTTTTGCTAGATGATTAAAACTCAGCAAAATAATTTCGACATTCTTCTTTATCCTACAAGACAATAGAAGCAAATTATCAAAAGCTTCTGAGTAGATTATCCTCTTTTCTGATTTAGAAACCTTGAGTTTCTTGTCATTGGAAAGACTTTTAGCTGTGTAAGTGGAAAATCACAATCATACAATGGATCTTGTTTTTCTCTCTCATCAAACTCATCTAACTTCATAACCTACATGTCTGCGTATGTACAGAGACCGTCATCAATAAACGACTAATAGACACACATCATAAAAAAAAAGGAAAAGAACAAGTGCTATCAATCAACCTTGCGTCTTTCATTCGATATTTTTACATATCTGCACGCATCGACTTTCAATTGTGTGACGGAGGTCACTGACTTTATCTGAAAAAATAGAGAGAGATATGGCATTGATGGTATGTCTCTCGAGAGGAGAAAAATATGATTATTTTTGTATTTCTTCGCTTTAATGTTTGATTTGTTAAGAAATCAAGCCGAATGGATAAATATAAAGCAGCTCAGAGGCCATGACAATCGTCATCAAATTCAGGTTAATTTATAAGGAAACCATGTCGTTACATCATCATTGCTGCTAAACATATTGATGGAGAGAAAAGAACTGTTTTGATGAGTTTTTGATGAGAAGCGAAGAATTCATGAATGAGACATTTGTTCGTTAATTCATTTCATTCGATCATGCACGCAACCATTCATCTCTTTGTAATAGATTTCTATTTGTTATATGTTTTGCCTGAAAATATTTTCCTTCCGTCGTTCCTTCTTCGTAATCAATCACATTCATTAGCGACAAGATCACTTTATCTTTGCCATTTATATCAATTAAACAACTCGAAAGAGTTATTTCTCCAAGGTTACAAGATACTTAATCGAGGAAATAGAGATTATGTTCACCATTTACTTCTGTATGAATGTTCGACCAAGGAAAAACTTATTTATTCAGGATTGTGTGGAATGTACAATGCTTATTCTATGCCTCAACCCGTCTATCGTCATTGCCAGACACGAATCATCATCGCTTGGGCACAAGGTGGTCAGCTAGAGTACAACTATCCTCCTTCAACAGGCTTAAAACTTACTCCATATACACAACTTCTACTCGAAGTTCACTTCGAATCATTCATTTCTCTAGATCATCCAGTAGGACTTCGTCTTCGATTCTTTCCTCTTCAGAAACCACCTCCATACGAAATCGGAGTTCTAACGTTAGGTACTCTAGCTAAATCACCATTGTTTTTACCTCCTAATCTAGACACTATACGTTTTCCGACCTACTGTTCTAATGACTGTTTGAAATCTTTTCTTGGCTATCATCGAACAATCAATGTCTTTTCGATTCTCGTTCATGCACATCGACGTGCAATTCGCATCGTTCTTGAGGATGAGAATCGACATCAAATTATCGATCGAAATCCGTTCGAATTCCATCGACAAGAAACTGTCTTTTTCGCTCAACCTTATCTACGAATCAATTCCACGAATGAACTGTCTCTTCTGTGTTATTACTCGACAAAGAACGACACTCATCAAGGTATCTATGGCGGCCATGATTCGAACGATGAAATGTGTCAAGCATTTCTTTACTATTACCCCAAAATCGAATCGTTTCCACTATGTCTCTCCGTACCTATCTACAAAAACAAACATCTACTTAACAACGATCAAAACTGGACTGTTAAACAAAGTTTAGCTATGAAATTCGAATTAGAATCGAATGTCGATCATCTCGGTATGTGCGGTGATAATATTTATCTGAATCATAGTAATCAAAGCCTGTTACAAACAAAGTTTTATCGACGAACACCTGAAAATATCCGGCAATATTCTCATCTCTTTATTCCTTTGCCACTTTCTTTCGTCACATTGCTTTTTGGTCTGATTTTGATTTCTATTCTCTATGGTTATTTGATTATCAAGAGAAACTTACATTCTTTTGTTAGAGATTGTAGTTTGTATTAATCTAGAAATGAAGAGTAAGACAAATGGTTATGTAGTTCGTCGAAATAAAACTTACGAAACGAATTTTTAATAACAATAATCAGAATATAAACATACACGATTGCTTTTCAAGCAAAAAATCAACATAAAAAAAAGAGGGTGTGTCTGTTTTCTTTCTTTTTCTTCTAGAAAATGAAAAACAAATCAATTAGATCCGAAAAATGTAATTCATTTTCAGTTTTCTATCAGCTCAGACAGCCAAGACAATCAACATTGATACATTCAGTGATTGTAAGCGAAACCGTGTCTTTGTCTTTCATCATCGCTGATAAATAAACAAAGTCTTTCTTTGACGGGCTGAGTCGAGATATGATCTGCTCGTCTCCTTAACATTTATGCGTCGAATAAAAGAGAGAGAGAAGATTGACGAGAGAAAAACATTCGGTTTTATATATCATCAACAAATGATATGTCGAGATCTCTCAAGTGATAGTACAAATGATTCTTTTCATTGTGTCCAAATCGAAGTTATTTGCTTGAAAATATCACCTAAATAGAGAACAGAAAAAGGTGTTCTGAAGTCAAGTATGTGTTTGAAAATCGAACGATTTTATGGAAGCTTTCTGCTTGTATTCTGATGTCGACTAGACAATATAAATCCTCATAATCTCCTAAGCGAAAACATCCGACTTTCTCGAATAACAATAAAAACATGCTGTTAAAGAAATATGTTCTTTTCTCTCTCTCTCTCTGGCTAGTCGTGCCGAAAACCATTAAATAGATTGACAACTGTAAACACATCAACAATAATAATATCGAAAGAAAATTGCTTACAGCTGCGCGACTAATAAATAAGCTCAGGATGGGATGTTGCTTCGAACGTATACTAATAAATATTTGATTTATATAAAAAATAGGAAAAACTGCTGACGAAAAGAAACACTTAAACGTGAAAATTTGATTTATTTTCCCGATTGATGTTTCTCGTATCTCAAAGAACAAAACTGATTTAATAGAAGTACCGACCGAGTTCGATTTATCGATGAAAATGCGCATGTTCTTCAAACGGCGAGTAAGCGAATGGATGAAAATAGTCACGTACTATAAATACATTCGTTTTTGTTTACGAAGCTCTCGGTAAAAACAGATTTGTAAAGAAATCTCAAAAAACGACTGAGCGTTTTACTTCGAAGACAAACAAAAGAAATATGCGTTTCGAAAGAGTCAAAGGAAAAAAAGTACGGTAAACAGACTCTATCTGCTGTCAGGAACATTCATATTGTCAGGAGCAAAAGAAAGTCAACAAGACATCGATCATTCTTCACTCTTGCTACGCATACGTGAAACAAAAACCAGGCATCAGTCGAGGTCGCTTGGAAAATCAACAGTGGTAGTATCGAGCGTGTCGAAAGGAAATCAACGCTCAACGTCGTGTCAGAACGTTTTAATCGACTAAATTTTCTCGAAGAGAACAAATACTCGTCATCAGATCGAATTAACCTTTAACATTTCAATATTTATGTTCACGTAAACGAGAAATATTTGGTTTTTGGAACTCATACAGTTTAGTAAGATAAATACGGAAATGAGATATCCTTCCTGTTTTGTTTCGAGCTAGATGAATACTGTTTTTGAAAATAAATCAAAGCTTTTCTTACCTGATTTCCAAGCTAATTCGAAATCAACATGAACAAGAATCGAACGGACGAATCATATTGTATTCAATCGATGTCATTGTGACAAAATCGATTTAATCGATAAATAAATGACAATCACCATTAAGTGGATAATTAGACTAACAAAACATCTCCACCAGACCTATTCTACTCTTCACTAAGCACGAATAATCTTTGTGTTTCATTCGAATGAAACCAAATTTACTTGTTTATCCTCATTATCGACTAAAACTAAAACGACCTATGTCTTTCTCTCATCTTGGTTTGTTAAGAATTCTCTCAACCTCCTCCGTTCAATGCAAAAAAAACGACGAAAATCACTTCTAAAATATGCTTAAGTAAAAAAAATGTTTTTTGGATGTTGAAAGACATTTTTCTTCGCAAAAAGAAACAACTGCATTTCCAAGTGCATTAACGTGTTATTCCAGCCAATGATGAACGATTGATTGTTCGATTCCAACACATGTTTATTTATTATTTATTCTTCTTCTCTTGCTGCCACTTTTCCATCAGTAGCGTCGCTTTCTTCTGATATTTTCTTACTAAACAAATCGTTTGCAAGTTCGTTGAATCATTCCGATTCATTGACGTATACGAATAACAACCATTTTATTTTGGTTTTTGCCTTTTCGACGTGGCATTTCATTGTATCTTGTCATATACAAAAAAGGAAGTTTTTCTTATTCATCAGTCTTCTTTGACACTCTCTTCAGAAGAAATAAAAGAGAAAAATGACACTCGAACTCATTCCGAATGGTGATCTAGTCTTCAAAGGTCCGTTTAATACCGTTTCAACGACAACATTGAAATTGTCCAATAGCGGAAATGAACGCTTGGCTTATAAAATAAAAACAACTGCACCGAAACGTTACTGTGTCAAACCAAACAGCGGTTTTCTCGATCCTCATGCATCAGCTAGTATTCAAGGTACGAAATTGAACTAAAACTATCGTAATTAATGTGTTCATTTCCTCTTTTATTCAAGTTATGTTACAACCACAGCCAGCTGGTCAACAAGATGATCGTAATAAACATAAATTTATGGTACAATGGGTCGCAGTACCTGAAAGTAACACTGACGACGTAGAAAGCTTCGTAAGATAAGAAGAAGTTCAATGAAGGAAAACAAAGTACAATGTTTTTGTTTGAATTTAGTGGAAACAAGATTTAACTAAACTTAATGCACATGACTCAAAACTGAAATGTGTTTTTGCTGACGAAGCGCCAGCTGCTGTCGTACCAAATGATTCGTACGGACACAAAGATTCAGATTTAGTAAGTTAAACATCATAATTTGCATCCAAATCAACTGTACTATTATCTCTTTTAGACAACAGCACGAGCCGTAAGTGGTTTTTCTACGAGAGCTACTCGAAGAGAATGTACATTTGTCTTTGCTGCTCGCATGCTTTTCTATGTTTGCTTATCCTTTGTTTGTTTTCAATATCGTACGCGTTTAGGCGGACTCCAAACCTGTGAATGATAACCGTATTCAACAACAGACGGATAAGAACGATTCATTATCAAGTCATAATCAACGATTCTCTGCAAATACATCACGTGATACGAATGTCGCTCAAAACCAATACAAAGTTCGTCAAAAGGATCTTGTATTAGTACTTTTTTTTTGGTTATCAATTGAGTTACACAGACATCTATTTCTTATTCGAATAATCTTTGTTTTTGTCGTAGTACACAGAGTTGTAGATTATATATTTTTTTATCCCTTGGGAATATTTCATGCTTATGCTTCTAGTCAGTTTTCTAACCCATTCGTTGTTGATTATTCAGGTCATCATATCAATGTTTTTCTTTCATTATAGGATACTGGCGATGATTCAAATAAATCTCGACTCAAACAAGAATTCGATCGTTTGAAGGAAGAAAATGATAGATTAAAAGTACGCATGAATTTTTATCGTTTGCGATTGAGTTGTTTTCTTGATAATGCACACATTCGCATGTATCTCATATCTAGTATGATATTCAACATATGAAACGAAAGATTGACGAACAAATTCATTCTTTAGCATCACTGAGATCTGTTCGAAGGAAAGATAATTCAATGACAATGATATTTCTCTTGATTTGTCTTTTTCTTTTCGGACTTTTTCTTGGAAAATTCTATTCGATTCATTATGATAGTTATTATTTCTAAATTCTATTTTGAGTTTCTCATTTGTTCATTTAGGATCAACTAAAACAACAAGAGTTACGACAGAGAAACACAGGTAACGATCGCATCGATAATCCTGTTGTCGATCGATTCAAACCCAACCAACAACAACAAAAAGGTCTCGTTCTTTTCGGTGTACCTTTAACTGAACAACTCGTCCTCGTGGCTTTCGTTCTTGCATTAATATTCGGATTTTCACTCGGTTATTTTCTCTTTTCCTGTGGAAATTAAAGCTAATAAATCTATATATACATATATCATGACGCTAAACAATGGAAAAATCGAGATATATAAATATATATATATACATGTATACATATATAATGCACACAAACTTAGTTTTTATTCTATTTTTTCCTTGTGTGTGGTTTTTTTTCTTTTGTTCGATGCGCGCATGTATATTGTAGTAACAAAAACCAACCTACCTTTCCTGAACATTTACAGATAGATAGAAAAGTCTTTATTATACATTCGAAACAGATGTTCCTCTCTCTCTCTTGTCCGATGTTCATGTGTTTTCTTTTTCGTTTCCGGTGTGTGTACCTTAATCATCTGTTTTCTGCGCGCTTTAACAACCTTGGCATTGATGTTGATTTCGTTATGTTTCATTGTCGATTGTAATCAATGTACTGTGTGTATTTCCAGGCAAGATCAAGTCATAAACTAATCGAATGCGAATAAACCTTCTTCTTTTCTCGATCATCTAGTAGGTTGATGTGAACTGATTTCACGAAGCCTCTTTGGGATAATTTCTCTTTTTCTCTTTGTTTATTCATATTCAGGGGAAAAGATACTTCTTCAAAACGTAAATGAATGAATACACACATTGCGTAGAACATGATTTTTCTTTTTCTTCTCACATTCAAGCATTTTCGGTTTCTCATCTTTTTCTTTTTTTTCAAGTGTTGTCTCTATCATTTTCTCTTTCTAATCGTTTGCTCCTCGTTTTTTTTTCTTTCGAAATAAGTAAACAGATTACAACAAAAAAGAAACAACACAATAACCTATACATTTTACA